ACTCGTGAGCTACTTGTATCATTTGTGAAATAGTCATTTTTGACCACTCCCTCTGCAGTCAAGAATTTCTATCTTCCGACGTCTTTATTGCTTATTGCAAAAAAAAAAAAAAATTAAAAATCAATTGCTCAACTGTAATTGTTACACACATATATAACCATGTTCTCCTTTCCTGTATTTTTTTTCCTTTTTTTGTTTATTCATTCCGCTGATTGCATTGTGTGGAATGAAATGTGCAATTAGGTCAAGTGGAAATTATAAAATTCATTATAACTAAATTATCTTTGAATGAGAAATGAAGAGAAAAAGCTGACAGTAAACGATTAGAATTATTTAGTTAGAGACAAGTACAGGACGTAGTAAGTAAATATGTGTATGTCCACAAATAAGTTTGAGTGGCAACAGCGGCAAAACGACGTCGTTTGGAATTCTCCAGCGGCGCAAAGCAATCAACTCAAGTGCCGCATAGCAGCAGACGGTAGACAGCAGGCAGTAGCGAGTGGCACAAGCTAATTCAAAGTGGCACAACAATAATAACAACAAAAACAATGATAGTATACAAGTAGCAACAAAAGAAATGTAGAATGAAAAAGCAAATAATAAAAAGTGGCAAGAATAAAAAGACAAATGCAAAGAAAAGCAAAAAAAGAGGTAAAAAAAAAAATTAAAACTAAAAACAACGCTTATAAAGAAATGGAGATAGGAAAGAGTAAAAATAAATAAAAAAAAATGAAAAATAAAACAGCTAAACGTCTAAGCAAGGTTAATGTAGCCTACCTGTAGGCGCTCAGCCAGTTTTCTTTCATGCTTTGACAGTGACAACTTGTTTACCAACTGAATAAGTTGTGTTTGTGCGCCTACCTATAAGCATACGCACGCACATACAAATATATTTAGATATACATACGTATCTATATGCTCAGTTGTGCGCCCAAATACAATAAGTGGTCTAGAAAGCAAAGACAACCAGAGAACAACTACAGCAAAGAGTGTACAATACTTCGGCCAATGCAAAAGACTCGAAGTAAAGTACAAAAATTCTGCTGATCTAAGTGCCAGAGTCCACCCGGAATTTGTCTGCACATTCAAGGCATATGCAGTTACAGCGGGAGCTCCGCGCTGAAGCAAATGAGGCTCATAATAATCCATTTCAAATGTCCATTACAGGTCTACAGTCTTGACAAGCAGTAGTAGCCCTACTAGTAGTAGTAAGTAGTCTCCGCCCTGCTCGCCACCCACACGCTTTCGTGGTCAGAGCTGCTTGAGCGTCGCTTTTATTATTATTCTAAACAGCTGTGCTGTAACACGCGCCTATGTTTATGCAATGGCTTTTAACTTGTCAGTATGCAGACAACTTTGTTAGCTATTATAAACTAAATAACAAAAGCGATAAACAACAACAACAGTAAAGGGAGATATATCGAATGCAAATGGCATGCACAACAGGTGGACACGCGCTGTTGGGGATTCACACCGCAGAGGAGTTGTGGTGTTGAAAGTGATGGTAGGCAAACGCTTGAACTTGCGCGGTTTTATGTATTTGTGTACATACGTTTACATATGTGTACATCTTCACATACGAGTATGCTTGTATGTGGCGTATAATTTGTGTGTTTGTTGTAAATTATTTATTTATTTATTTATGCATTTTGCAATTACAGTCGCGATTTGCTAAGCAATCGGTAGAGCAAACTTATTTGTTGTGCTTTTTCTTTATTTACCTTTGCAAATTCTTCTTTGCCAACTGCTGTATACTCGGTCAAGTTTGCCGTCACATAACGTGCACATTTTACATCTTTTATTGTTGTTTTCTCCTCTTCATTTTGGTTATGTGCGGTTAGTCGTCTTTCCCACTGGCATTTCACTGCACTCGCACTGCAGTTGGTTGGCGATTTTCTATGCATTTTATATGCGCTTTGCTTAAAGCGCTCTGACAGTCGTTTAGTTACCGTTATTATGGCAAAGGAGTGAAAAGAATTCTTGTAAATTGAAAAAAAGGAATAAGTGAATGAAATAGCAAACTTAAATTTTATGGTGTGAAAAGTAAAGCTTTGTCTACGGATTATGTGCTTGTGTTAATGTGTACATATGTATGTGTATATATGTACATTAGTAAAGAATTGCACTAACAACAAAACAAGCAAATAATACTTGAAGCCATAAAAACAAATAATGATAATTTAATGTTAAATTTGCTGATATGGAAAAATTTACACAACATAAAATTATTAAATAAAATTAAAGGAGATTTTTTTTAACCCACAAACCGAAACTATTTTATTTAAGAAAAAAAGGGGACTGGTTACTAAATTTATTTTTAATCAATTATCAAAGTTATGAAAATGGATTTAGTTTCTGGGTATGTATTCGTCAGGCCACAACTCAATTCTACTCTTACTCTTGCAGGATGCGGGAACCAACCCGTGTGGCACATTGGGTCGCTGCTAAAAGAGAGGACACTTCATGGAGCCACGCTGACTTACTCCGCTTAAGGGTTTGCTAAAATCTAAATGCGGCGTCTGATTACTATTTTTTTAGGAAAAATTGGGCATAATGTACTCGAGCCTCTTTTTGGGCCTCATTTAAAATTCGTGGTATCTATCGAGCAGATTTCTTCGTGCATCCCCAGATGATTACTTAATATTCGCAGCCTTGGAATTCCCAATTCATTAGCAATCATTTCTTGTGTTAATCATCGGTTTTCGTCAACTTTGGACTTCACCACAGCTAAGTTAGCTCATCAGTGGGAGATTTTGATAGACCCTTTCGGCGATCGTCTTCTACGAAAAAATATCTAGTTTAAAATCTTCGGAACCATTTGGAAATATTACATAAAAGTGATGCAATCGTTCCATATGCAATTAGGCATTCACTGAATATTTGTATTGGCTGTAAATTACGCCGAAACTCGAAGAGAATTACATGGCGAATTCCTGTTTGCGTTGATGGTGGAATTTCGCCTCACCTAGCCTCAGCTATCTAGCGTTTTTTTGACTCTATTTTAGCGGAATTTTCCAAAATTTGAAAGGGAGGCTAATGAAGTAATTGCAAAGGATTTGGTATTTTTAGATTTAATAAAAAACAAATTGAAAGTTACCAACTGACGGAACTTTTGTTAATCCCCTCGTATATATAATTGGCGTCTGAAGCAAGTTTTCGACCAAACTCCTCCTCCAATTTGTGATGGTCCTTTTGATGTATTTTAAATAAATGCGGAGACCTACTGATAATGACGAGGCCTTCATAACTTTCAGTTATATCTGTTCTTATATCTAAAAACTTGTTTGGAGGGACTAAATGATTTTCTATGACGATATTTATTTGTATATAAATTTGTGGAATACACAATCTCACGATGGATTTTCGACGCAAAACCACATAAATTGAATAATCGATCGTGCTTATGCTAAAGTTGTTCGGTCTGCCCGTTGGTATCAGTCCATCTGTGCACCACGTTTGATTGAAATATCTCAAAAACGGAGTAAATAGTTTGAGTACAAACGGACAGCTCAACTAACTTAACATTTCAATGGGTCCATATCTTCTTCTTTTAGTTTCGCATCAAAGTTATTATACAATTTCATGCACCGGAAGGCACACAAATTGATTTTGTAATATTTTGGATTTTGAACGGATAAGAACTCGAACCCTGGCTTTCCGATTGCTAGTACGCAATGCCAACCACTCGACTATTGTATACATACTCATACAATACGTACGTGTATATACAGATCTATCAAAATGCAACTTTAAGTTAAGGAAGGAGGAGGCGACAAAACTCTTATAGGAAACAGTTTTAAGTCAGACGCCATCTTTTGGGTTACCACTAAATAAGTTATTATCCAAAATATTATGTTATGTATTATATATAAATATATGCATACACATATGTACATAAATAAATTTAAAGCAAATTTTTTGCATGTCTCATTATTACAACAACAATAATTTACTCCGTCGCCTGCTAACTCACCAGTGGCTGGTATAAGTATATACATATGTATGTATTTGAAATGTAAACACGAACAATGGTAACAGAAAATCTCTAAAATTATTTGAAGAGTAATGTGTTAATGGAATTGCAAGTGAAATTTGCGCTAAGAGAATATTCGCAATTTTTAAATGAAATATGAGATTTGGACATGCAATGAGTTTAGCAGCAAAGTGAGTTTGCCATTGGGGGAGGAGGGAAAGCAGGTGACGTGAGTTACATCCTCAAATATAATGTGTAACATTCAGATATATTATTTTCACTTTATGTTTACTTTGCTTAAAAACCACTTTGACACATTAAAATTGTAATTTGCTCCCGTGGAAGAAAGTGACGACGACCAAGATTTGAGAATATCTGAACATTTACCGGTCACTGACGACATGTATCACGAAAATTAATAAACAGAGTAACTAAGTTTTTTACTTCTAAAAGCCCAAGCATCAGAAAAATGGCCTACAGAAGCAGAATCCAGCAAATTTTGCGCCAGCGAATGTTTCTTTTCTAACGCTATAGGGTGCATTGATGGGACCCATATCGTAATAGACTTTATACGACTATATTGACCGGAAAGGAAATGTGTCAATATGTGTGCAAGGTATTTGCAATGAAATTGAAAAAAATATTATTAATGCATTTTTTGGATTCCCTGGTTCCTGTCATGAGTGTTGAATGCTAAAGAATTCTCCAATTGATCATAATTTACCATTGAATTGCCATTGTAACGCACTTGAATATTGTTTTTGTAATATTAAAAATTTATGCTATTATAATACCAGACTACTATTTATTGGGCAATTCTGCATATCCACGCATAAAAATTATTTGTTCACGCCGTATAGGAATGATGGACATCTAACGAAGAAGCAAATATTTTTCAATAAAAAGTTGAGTTATGGTTGCGTTGCTATTGAGCTCACATTCGATATTCTTAAACAGAGATTTAGGCAATTTTATTAATGTAAATTGCAAGGAATCAAACAACTTTGCCACTTTATACGTGATTAACATGGAAAGTGTACCCGAAAGTGTACCTGAAAGTGTACTTGAAAGTGGACCTGAAAGTGTACTTGAAAGTAGACCTGAAAGTAGACCTGAAAGTGGACCTGAAAGTGTAACTGATAGTGTTGGCGATGATTATCGAGAACATTGCGCATTTTCAACTCTTCCAGTTATATACAAATTTGGTATGTGAAAGAGTAACAAATTACTCGAATTTCAGAGAAAATAACAAATAATTCATTTTTTATTAACATATTGTAATAAGGAAAATTTCATAAACAAATTGATGCATTTCATTTTCCTGGCGAGCATTTCACATCCACCTACCTATTTCCATTCCTTTTTAATTAAATTTTTATTTTAATTTGTAAAAAGCAAAAAATCAGAAAGTAAAAAACCGCTGATGTGTTATGGCTGTCTGAGTAGTGATGGATAATTTTGCGTTCGTTTACTTTTTGTGGAAACTTTTTTTTTGCAGATAGTATTCTTGCTATTCTCTTTTAATTCATCTAATTCACTGGTGTTGGCTAATTTTTAATTCAAGAAGACCTTTTGTATCAAGCCGTGAAAATGTATGCAAAATTTTTGTAAAATACATATGTACATATGTATGCATATAAATATTTAGAAAATTAAATTGTATTGGACAATTGATTTACCTAAAGGATAAACTTTTATAACTAATAACTAAATCCCTTAAGTTTAAAAGAAATATAATTCGTGTGCGGACAATAAGTACAGGGTGAATCATATGCTTTCTTAGTAGTGGCATTTTTAAGTAGAAACTTTAGGATTATAATATTTATTGACGATGAATTTTGATGTAAGAGAAAGAAGTTTAAAATGTCTTTTTGCCTCTCGCATATAAACACTTGTTCCCATTGGCAAAAAATTTGGGAAACTTCATTTTCATAGATTTCTCTTAAAACCAATTCTTCATCAACTAAATTCATCAGTGCAAAAAATAATTTAAAAATTATAAATATCATAATATTAAATATTTATAATTTTTTACTATACCCAATATTTATTGATTGGTTAATAATATATATATATATTAGAAAATCACTTATTATACAAACATATTATAATATATTGTTGTTTGGGAAGGCATAAAATATAACCACGCGGTTGATGGACAAGCCCAAACTAACCAGAACTACAGCTCACGTCAACTCTGGTAACTTTTATATTACTACTCACTAATTTGTATGGTAGAATCTTTCACTTAAATAATTTCTCATTCCAGTAGGAGAACAGATAGACCCATCAAGATATATACAAATCGGATCAAACTGGACAGTTCACTTCATTTAGCCATGCCAAACTGTTCACTTAGTTTTTGAGATATTTCATACGAACTTGATATTCATATATACTGTTACAGTACAATGCCCATTTGACGGTACAAGTTAGAACCGAACCCTATAGCGTACATATATACGACCGGTTTTCAGATGTTAGATTTTGGATAGTAATTTTGTCAAAAAAAATCTAAGAGCGTGAAATATTATCCTTTCTACACATGGTGGATTACATATTGGTACTGAAAATCTGCAAAATCAAGCAAGTATATCATACACAGCCCTATACAACCGATTAGTTCAGATAAAAGAACGTTTAAATAGCATCAGATTTGGCCTTCTCCGCACATTAAATAAAAAAATTATGGAAAATTTGATAAGTTCATGAAAGGTGTAAAGACTTCGGCCTGGTCCAAGACAACACTTCTTTCTTCTTTTACAGCAAATTTAATTAAGCTCTTAACACAGACAGCTGTCAGGTTTAGTATTTGCTGTATTGCGAGAACAAACCCTAGAGCGCGACAGAAGTTTTTTGATTTACAAGTTTCGGTCCATTTTTTTCGAGTTCAAAAAACATTTTTTTATTAAAGAAAAATTGGGAACAAATAACTAAAAGTATTGCCCATGGAAATCAACTACTTTTTCTATCTCTCTGGTAATATTTCGTTCACCATCTCTAAAAATTGAGTTCTCTCTGGGATCGATTCAATCATTAAGCCATTTTTCGAATTTTTTAAAAGAGCCTGACTGTTAACATCCCAAATCGTTTTGTGTCCGTCGAAAAAATCCAATTGGAGGGAGAAGACTACGGCTTGCAGTGTATGGTCTTCCTTATCCGTATTTCCAAGTAGTTTTTGACCGCTGCAGCCGCTTGAAGCCGTGCGTTGTCTTATTGCAAAATCACCGGTTATCATGCCTTTCGGTCGTTTCGTAGCAATTGTTGCCTCTGGGTTTAGTAGAACTCCTCATCTTCCTGAATAGGCGCTTTTTTAAAAATATTTAGTTAAAATATTTTCCGTGTAGCAAAATAACATTAACATTACATATATATCATTTTTTATTTATTTATTTACATTTCTGCCAGCGCTAGGCTTCCAATAATCGGTCTAACTAATGCCTAGTAATTCACACCACATTTAATTAACAGTTCAAAATATACTATAATACAAAATCAACATAAAAATAAAAATTTCTGTGCTATATAATATAATATGTAAATACATAATATATATATATAGTATGTAAATATATAAAGAGGGGAGGCTACTGACTACTCGTGTAAATATTTGATGAGTAAATTTCGAAATGCACAGGTGCATACCAAACAAATAGAATATCAAACAGAAAATATATCTTATATACATAGTCATATGCACTCATAACAACTGCGCCTAAAAGCGCTCTATTCGAAAACATAGCGAAGGCAACCACAATGCCCAACATGGCGTATACGCAACACGACATTTTTATGGCGCTGGTCAAACGCAACGTTAAATGGTCTGTCTACAAAGCGAATAAAAAAAAATAAATAAATAAGAAATAAAACGACGCAACGAGACAGTCAGTTAACATATAGAAACACTAAGAGACAGAGCACAAGCGTAAAGCACATAAATATCAAGCAGAGCACCACCAAGGTTGATGCCAGGAAAGAAAAACGAGACAGCGCAGAGATAAACCACTGTAAAGCCTCAAGGTACAGCACAAAAACACTCTGTGGCTGTGAGTGGCATAAACAATGAAAACCGAAAAATATCAAAAGCCATAAAGAAATGGCAAAAAAAATGCTGAGAAAAAGTGCCAAGTGATAGGTGAATGAGGAGGTGCGCTAACGACACGACTCAGCAAAAGAATGAGAAAGAAAAGGGGGGGGGGGGGGAGGGCAAAAGAAAAAGCAGCAGTCTTTACACTTTCATTCATACAATTTAACGTTGAACGACTGCGGCTGAAGGAAGTAGGAAATGCATTAAAAGGCAGTGAGGCGCTTTCAACATGCCATTGAGCCCGTCAGGAGAATTACAAAAAAAAATATAACTAAATATAAAAAAACACCAACAACAGCAACAACTTAAATGTGCCTAAATGTATAGTAAGTGCTTTTTGTTTTAACTCTTAGATATACCCTTGTGCAAGTAGTAACTTAGGTAGCGGCATTGAGTGGCAGATCCCTACAGAGGCCTTGTTGCTGGTAGTGGCTTTTGCTTTCATACTTTTTGTGGGAACGCTCAACAGCTGGGTTGGAGGCACACTTTTCGTAATTACCTAAGTTCCACTGCGATTTGGTCAGCCTGCCGCCACACGATTTACTTTGCTTTGCACTCACTTTCATTCTCTTCTCGGCCAACTGGTTTGCTGTCTAGCTGACTGAATGGCAGCCCTTTTTAATTTATATATTTTATTTATATTTTGGACGTTTCTTATCTAAATACTTATTTGCTTGTGTATTGTGCATCCCAATATGCTTTGAGACTCACAAACAACAAAAAGCGTACACACACCCACACATTTATTATGCGCATGTTTATATAGGACACGAAGCTCGTTGGGCGAGCGCCACCATTCCCTGACTTTTTCAATCGCATCGTGTATAAAATACCCTGTAGGGTGGATTTTGATGGAATATTTCGTAAATTTTTTATTAGTAAGTGGTGGTCGTCAGTAGGATGTTGAACGAGCTGGAGGTCACGGGTTGAAAGCAATCAGACCCACACTTGGTTGGTTGGTTGGTTGAATTGGCTGTTTGGCATCGACATATCTAGGACCCAAAGGGGCCCATTGTGGTACCACTGAGGATCCCAGAAGACCCCATCCGCAAATCGAACCAGCGCGTGGAGTCGCATCTTAGCCCACGCTATCTCGCTCAGGTCTCCTAGAGGCTTCAGCCTACTCCTTCAAAATGCGGGACATTCGCAAAGAAAGTGCCTTAAAGTCTCCGGTGCTTCTTCCTGTCTGCAACTTCTGCAAGAGACCTATAACTGTGTACATATCCTTCTTTTTCAACTCGAGATTGTCACGTGACTTTCTATTGTTTCTATTGACCCACAATTAATTTTCAGGAAATATTTTTGACACTCGGTGTGAATTGCCACACTTCTTGAGTGCATTTCTGGTATGAGTTAAAATTAAAAAAAAAAAAAATCTAGCCCTTCAGAGGTTGCTTAGGAAGATGTCTGCCACAGACAAAAGTATCTCACGGGAAAGCGCTTCCGTAAACTTCCGTTGAAATCGCAGAAAATAAAGTTTATTTTAGGCTTCCATATTTTACCTAGAGTTAAGGACCTGTGAGCAGTTTTCTGTATTCCGGCTCTGGTTTTTGAAAACTTTTTTACCCTGTTTTAAGGCATTTTGGTTTTGTGCATTCTTACTTATTAAAAGATGGACTTAAAATAAATAGGATACTAATTTTAGATTGCTAGATCTTTGTTTTCCGTTCGTCTTCTACTATGGAGTAGATTCTGGCAAGAACAAGCTCGGATGCTTTTTGGAATGAATTACGACGGTAATTAACCCAGAAACCCCAAAAACGTTTTTTGTGTCTTGAATCCTTTCCCAACTTCCTACCGAATTCTACTAGGCTGCGATGGAAATGATTGGTAAGCTTAGTTTATTCTCTGAAACTAGAGAAAGCCACTTAAAAATTAGAAATCTCGACAGATCAGTGGTCAATAGAGCGGCATGCAGACGGCTGTAAATCGACTGCACTACTTGGTGCAGAGCTTGCCTTCAATGTTTGGAAACTATCCTACCTGAAAATCTCTCTCTAAGTTGGCCAACGCTGAGACAAGTAAGCTGTTGAAATTTATCAAGAAATCAAGGTCGATGGACAGCGAAGCATATTGATCGGAATAATATTGCCGCAACACAGTAGCCTCATTAGCCTTCTTATTGCATCATCGCTCTCATTTCAATATCTCTTCTAGCGTGATATTTCTTCAAGTAAATGCGGTTCAAATCCCGGTGCCAACTTTGGACTGAGTGGGCAGTTGAAAAGAAAAATTCTCTCTCGACAAGCAGAGACAAAACGCTACCAGTCACTCATCCATCACTCCTGATCTACTTGATAGTGCGTGTACAATAACAGCACGGAATGTATTGGATTTCGGAGTCTTCGTGAGAAAAGTTTTGCGAAAGGTTTATGGTCCTCTGCTTGTTGGAACGATAGAACAATGAGATATACGACGACATTGTTTCATGTATGTACATATGTATATATTTTATCTTTATTTCATTCTCATTCCCTCATTCATTCATGACATTCCCAACCGAGGGCCGACTGCAATAAGCAAAAATTAATTTTCTATAATTTTGTATGTTGGTCGAACAGGGACTTGAACCCGGTCTTCATAATGGCAGTACGCAATGCTAAACATTCGGCTCCTGCGGTCAGCGAATTAAGCAACAGCACTTTCGTTAAACGAAAACTCTTTAGCTGGGAAAGTTTTCGATGCAATAATCGCTGATCAGAGCAGAGCAAGAAGAAGACCACCACTACGCAGATTAAGCAATCAAGAATTTACTCGCGGTAAGGCTAAGCGGTCGTAAGAGGCGAGTAAAATAAAATGGTTGCCGCTACAGTCGGATCTTTACGCCGCCCGAAAAAACCTGTATTTTTGTCCGCCCAAAGACTGTCACTCGCGCAACATTTCTCAAAAGTCACTTTGAGACATACTTTTGCGCTGACAACAACTACAATATAACCGCCCGCCACTGGAAGGATCATGTGGAGTGGCGACATGGAACCACATGGTCTCTCCAACAGAGGTGAACCGCAAGGCGAAGAAACGACTGCTGCGCTAGTTATGAGAATTATTCTCTCTCTCGAGAGAGTGTGGTGGTTGTCATTTATAGCTCTATTTTTGCCCTAGACTAGATCGAAATTCATTTCAGATCAAAGGCGTGTAGTTAAAGCTTTCTAACAGGGTTCATGCATATACGTATAGTACATACATATGCTTCATGCGTGCTTTAAAGCATACATAAAAGTACGCGCCAGCTTTTACTGTGTATGTGTGTGTGTGTGTGTGCAGCGTTTGAGTGCGCCCGAACTTGGTACATATAACATTTTCAATGTACCTACTTAACTTTTCTCCCTTATACCTACACGATTTTTCTCCACTGTATACACACATACACACACACTTTTTCCTTTACTTCACACACTTGAAGCGAATGTATTCCCACAATCTCGGAGGTCTTGGACGCATTTAAAATTTAATTACATATTATACTTATGAAAATTTGATAATTTGCATTTTTTATTACAAATAAATGGTACCTTTTTCGAATATTGCGTCGCGACTTAAGTTTGCTGCAACATTTTACCGTTAGAAATTATGCAATTTTGCAATTTTCCTCTAATTGAATTATATTAAATGCACTTTGGAGCGAGTAATTTGACGAAAAATTTCTATTTCTTCACACTTAATTGCCCTCACTCCTCTTCGGCGAGCTGACGAGCTCGGCACACTTCACTTCATTTCACTCTTGCCCGAGGCTTTTCTTCACTTGATTGCACTGGGAATTGGCCTGCAGTAAGATTTGCATTTCTTTCCACTGCCACATTGCGACACATTCACTTCACTGCTATGCAAAATTAACGATATCGCGTTGAGCCCTTCACCATGCAAGGCACCTTCACCGCATTTCAATACATCCATATAACAGTTGTAATTCCAGTTTACTTTTTATAGTGACATCCGCCACAGCTGCTGCATGAATGGTGGCAGACTGTTACATGGTTATATGTGATGTGTAGACAAAAATTTATTTATTTTTCACTTGTGGTTTTTTTTTTGTTTCTATTCTGCTAAGACTAAGACTTCAGTACCGTTGGAGGGTCGTTTTCCGTGTCGCGCGTTTATTTCTGGGGAGCTCAGCTTGGACTGAATTGACCATTCGTTGTATTCGTTGTTCGTTGACGCTTGCAGACTTTCTCAAGACAATTACGCTGGGTTGGCGGGCGGAAAGCTCAAAAGTTCCCCCAACCATCGAGTGTGCAGTGAACTTTCTCTCTCTCGCCTTGTCACTTGTCCAAGTTCGGCTTTCGGCTGCTGATGCCGAAAACTTTGTTTACCTTTGCTCTCGATATTTTGGCGCCAAAAATGTCGAACTGTTTTTCCAGTTCTTCCTGCCGCGGTTTGTTTACTGCCGGGCCGCGTTGTTGTTGCATGTTGTTGTTTGTTGTCGTTTGTTGTTGCAAACAAACAAATTTTCGCACATGCGCAGTTCCTCCATCGCCGCTACTCTGGTGTCAATGCACTCGTTTGCGTGACACTTCATCACCAGGCAATGATGAGGCTCATTGTTTTTGTTGTTTTGTTGTTAAAAATAACAATTATTTTTATGTTAATTCTATTTACGTACGCATATATGTATGTTTGCATTAGGGAGTATTATGTTGTAAGTATGCAAATGAGGTTAATAAATATGGAGATAAGTCCCTCGTGAGGTGTATGACTGAGGCAACTGAAAATGGAGCGATTTTTAACACTGAATAATTTATAATCCTTTTTGTAGTTGAAGAAGGCTTATCAATTGGATTGAGGGCATCGGAAAAATACTCATAACTAACTTCCCCAGCGCTTAGTTGTTGTAAAGAGCTCCAATCTCCTCCACTTCGTCTTTTCACTTTGCTTTCTACACTTCTTCCAATTCGATTCGACTGTTCTTCAGCACTTTACAAGCGGTGTCTTATGGAATCTTGCCAATTTTGTGGTTTACTGCCATTCTTTTCTGCGTAATATGGTTCCAGATGTGATAAGTCTCGACCAAATTTTGCTAAGCTCATTACATACTCGGATTTTTATGCTATGAAAACAGTTTGTTGAAGCTTTCAGCCGATAAAGCTTGCTTACTTGTAAGTGGAACTTCTTTTTCTTCTTTTTTATTGGCCTTGGCACAGTTTACGCGTTTATAGCCGTATGAATATTAATACGCCATTCATCTCTCTTGTCCGCTGTTTGGCGCCAGTTGGAAATACCAAGTGAAGCCAGGTCGCTCTCCCCCTGATCCTTCCAGGAAGAAGACCTCCGCTTCGCTACCACCAGCGGCCACTGCACCGAATACTTTCAAAGCTAGAGTGGTTTCATCTTTTCGGACGACATGCCTAGCCAGCGGAGCCGCTGTCTCTTCATTCACTGAACTATGTCAATATCATCCTATAGCTCGTACAGCTCATCGTTCCATCGTCCACAAATCGACCATAAATCGCTCGCAAAACATTTCTCTAGAAGACTACTAGAGCCTACTCATCAGATATTGATATCGTTCACGCTTCTGCGCCCTGATGAGCGACTCGTAGAGTTTGGTTTTCGTTAGTGGGGAGATGACTTTACTTTTCAATCCAAAGTAGCACCTGTTGACAAGAGTGATTCTGTGTTGGATTTCTAGGCTGACATTGTTTTTGGTGTTAATACTGGTTCCTAGATAGACGGAGTGACTTGGTGGCCTGATCACGAATGCGATGACTGTTTGTTTGATGACAGAAGATATTTCGTCTTGTCCTCACTACCAGGCCCATTTGGTTCTCTTCTTTATCTGGAGTCTGGAAACAGCAGAACTAACGGCGCGGTTGTTGAGGCCAATAATGTCAATATCATCGGCGTACGCCAATAGTTGTACACTCTTATAGAAGAATGTATCTCCTCTATTCAGCTCTGCAGCTCTTATTATTCTCTCCAGCATCGAATTGAAGAAACCGCACGATAAAGAGTCACCCTGTCTGAAACATTCCCAATTCTGACTGCGCTTCTGCTGTTATCTAGCGTCAGCTTACACATCCGTATATGTTTTGTGGGGATACCAAATTCAGACCTAGCGGCGTAAAGGCAGCTCCTATTCGTGCTGTCGAAGACGGCTTTAAAATCGACGAAGAGGTGGTGTGGAACTCAGATAAAATAAAGGCGTCGCATACGACCTTAATTTTACCGTAGACAATCATTTCTGTAGTAGCCAGCGGTAGCAACTTCGATTATAATTTATGTATGCTCTCGTCCATTCTGCATGAGTTGGATCGAGGACTATCTGGGTAATAAGTTCGTGAGCGTTATTTAGAATATTGAATTTAAGACTTGTTGAGTCTGCTCTTTTAGTATTTTGTTGTCTATTTTAAAAATTTTTGAGAGATGATGCGCCACGTGACGGATAAGGTCGGTTAAGTGAATGCATTGGCCCACTGAAATTGTCACAATGAGTTCTACACTGGAAGTATCGCCAAGATGGTATCAATTCAATTTCAGTAATTTTCCCATTCACTCAGTAATAGTGAAGAAGTCTTATAACATACTTTTCTATGGCTCAAAAAGCCATTGGCTTGTTAATCTAAATGGCGAATTTAGCACGAGTTCAATTTGCCGGAGCTTGAAACTCATTCGTCCAAAAAATTAAGAGCTCATAGTGGTGCGTACTAAATATAGTTTAAAGAGCCTAATATCTAATCAGACTGGCTGGTCATAACGATGATATGTTTCAGTATTTGTGTGGCAAAGAACCAGATCCAAAGATAACTTCAAAACTTCATTGACGAGTACTCGTTTTGCTAGTTTTGACTAGCTATAGTAGATCTCAGTATGTCTCATACTTTGCGTCAGAGTCAAATACTATTCTTACGAGTTCTTCGTTTGTACCATCGGATCAGATTTTAAACTCCTTTAGATCTTACTAGCTTTCAAAGTATCAGGCCATCCGATAAAAGAGTAACTCAGCTAGAGTATACGATTGAACCAGGAGCTTAGACCTCGGAATAAATATTATTTTCATTCTTACAATGGAGGGCAAAAAAATACGTGGGTTTTAGCTATCGAGTCTTAGTAGAGAAAATGTGTACCATCATGGCTTCAAATCCTGACCAGACAAAAGCTCGAAATTGAAATTCTCTAAGTAGGGAATTTTCGTACATGGAATAGTGCTGTTTCTGTTGTGGACGGCTTTTGGTTTCAACAAGACGGCGCTACAGCCAACGAAACAATCAAGTTATTGAAGGAAACTTATGATGAGCGCATTATATCGCTTTGTGGGCCTGTGGTGGAGCATACAAGATCGTACGATTTAACATCGTTGAACGCCTTGAAAAAGAATATGGGCCACTTGGCTGGTATTTATTCGAGCCATCCGCTGCAAGCCAAATTTCCGTCTTTTGGTGAGCAACGTCTTATCCAACGTCCATAACAACTGATGAACTGAAGCTCTGATTCGCTATTAATATTCTAAAGCTCATTGTTAGGCTTTAATTAATCAGATTCAATAAAAAATTTCATAAAAAAAGAATATGGATCAATGAATATCGAATAAATGGGACAGCATATTTTGTATTATCTATTCTGAACATGATGATCCAAAAAAATTTAAAAAGGTTAATGAGCTATTTCTAGTTTTCTTTTACCAAACTATAAAATGTTATTATTAAAATCCGTATAAAATGGCAAAAAATTAAATTACAAAAATTAAAATATGAATGAATTTGTATGTATTCAAATATACGCGCACATACGAGGGTTGCCTTTCATATTGTGGGATTTGGCAACTCTAGGGCTTGCAAACTTGGAATCTGCTACTTTCACTTAAAGTTTGGCATTTTTAATGTTGTAAAGGGTGAATTTTTTTGGCTTTTATCTTCTTGGAAAGAGTGTACTAAAATTGGACTAAGCAGATGAAACATTTGAGGCGCAGTCTCGGTGAACATTTGCCTGAAAGAATCTTCGAACATTAGATTATATGGACCGTGCTATGTTTACTTCTTAATGGAAAATATTTTTAAAAACATTTTTTGTTTGATTTTCGGCGATTAATATTTATTTATTACAAAAGTAAAAATATTTATATTTAAAATCGGTCATCATTCATACATACATACATATTTATAAATATAGATATAAATATGTACGAAAATAGAAAAAAAAATGAAAAAACAATTAATAAATTTGCATACTAAAAATAAACGTAAATAAAAGTTAGAGCAAAGGGCTAACGCAGAAGCTGTCGCCACCGACACCTCAAGAGCTTCGCTATGATTTACAGCGGTCATTAACTTTGTCGGTTGCCAGCTGTTGTGATGCTAAACAAAATTTATGCAAATGACAGTTTGTTTTATGTTAGATGATTTTTGATATCATTAACTTTTTTTTTTATTTTTTTTTTTTGCTTTTTTTTCTCATAAAACACAACACAAATATCAACACGCTTATGAGTGGGGAAAACTTTCCTTGTAATGCTTGTATTCATTCATATTCAAATTTCTTTGGAGAAAACAAATCAAGCTGCGAAAGGTGCGCAGCTCACAATGGGTATGAATCGGTATGTAAAAAGGGGCAAACAAATTTGCGTTACGGTAGAGCTACGTCTTTCGATATTTAACGGTTTATGGTAATAAAATTATAATCGCAAAATTGCGTTAATTTTTTTTAATAATATAGGGTTATCCATTATGTGGTTTCAAAAGTACGAGGCAGCATTTTGACACCTGTCAACCTTAACTGTTAAACCAAACATGTTTTGTTTTAGTTAAAAGTCAGTTAATTATGAAAATGCCTGTCTAAAGAAGTGGTGTTTCAAACGTGGTCAAGTTTTGTGTTTTAAAAGTAGATTATACTCAAGGAATTGGTAAACTTCTAATGAAGTTCGAAGGGGCGGGAACGGTTAGAGATATTGTAAGGTCGGTGCATCATCGTGTTGTACGTGCCACCTCAAGTGTCGCTACTGTTAGTAAATGTGTAGCGACAGACCCGAATGTGCCTATTTCTCGACGCACTCAAGAGCTTATGACAATAGACCGTTTCATCTTAAATTCATTCCACCGACACAGACGGTCAATAAAGAGTACTATTTGAGCATTTTAAGGCGTTTGCGCGAAAACAACCGCCGTGAACGGACGGAATTGTGGCCCAGCAATTACCGAATACTCTCATGACGATAGTACGCCATCGCACCGAGCTGTAGTTGTGAACGACTATAAGCCAGCAATGCCGTTCAATGCCATCGATCAACCACCGTATTAGCCGAATTTCTTTTGTTACCAAAATTCAAGTTACCACTCCGTGGAACTCGTTTCGACTCGATTGAGGCCGCAAAAGAAAATTCGCAGAGCACACTGAAAGCGATCTCGGAGAGCGCCTACAAGGCATGTTTCGATGATTGGAAAAGAAGTTGGCATAGGTATGTGTATCGCTTCAGAGGGAGCATATTTTGAGGACGAGTAAGTAAAGATTGGTTAAGGTTAACAATTTTGGTTTTATTTACATGTACCGGAAATTTTCTGGTCTTGTGTATTTTGCCCTTAGACTTACAACGCCACGTACATACGTCGATTGGGCGCTTGAACAAGAACCAGTGGTCGGTGATTTTCCGAAAATTTATTTCAGTGACAAGCGAAATTGAGGCATTTTTGGCTCGGAGAGTCAACAAATAATTGAAGAGAGGGCATTACATGGAGAAAAAAGCTTTTGGAACGAAGGTGTGTTTGGACCTTACATCTCTGTAAACGGCAACGGCGTGGCTACCACTGACAATGCTGATCGCTTGGTCGCATGATTATTGACTTCTTTTGGCCTGCAATTGAAGAGCACGACTACTTAGCCGGAAGTTAAAAAAAGAAATGCAAATTGAATTTGAGATTAGATTTGAAAAAATTTTTGTTCTTGTTTAGCGAGCTCCTCGGAAAAGTCCATCGGGCGTATGGAGGCGGCTTAAAACCAATTTTGTTGGTAAAATAAAATAAAATAGTAAAAATCGGAACCACACAATACGAGTTAATATGGCTTTAATGCTAGTGAAATTTCTCGGCCGCTTAATCTCTCGTCAATTGGCAACCGGGTACGTGCGATTTGAGAATTTTTTTGTGGGTTTAGACGAAGGACTATGCTTAAGCGGAGAAACCTTTAACCCTTGAGCACCTCACAACCAATATTCGTCAAGTAATGTCTGAGTTATTGCAATATGTGCCGGAAAGTGAACGGAAACTACTTAAAGCGGATCGAAGTTTGCAGAAATTCGGAAGGTGTTCATTTGAATGTTGTAGTGTTTCACATATGAGTATGCCGAGGTTCAAACTTTATAACAAAAAAGGAATTTCATGAAAGAAAATCAAATTCATTTTATTTACGTTTATTTTCGAAACCACAAAATGCATAACCCTGTACTTCCTGTTATTTTACATTTCTAATATCTTATTTTTTTATTAATTGTTTGTTGTTGTTGGCGATTTGATTTAGTTTTCAATATTTTTTCGCCTCTTGTATGAATTTTGGCAAATGAAGAAATCAGTTTTTTGTAAAACTTCAAAGTGTTTGGTTTAGAGATAAAGAAGAGTTTAGCTATCAACACCACCCCTGGTGATGAAGTGTTTCGTGAAAATGTTTTTAAAACAATTGGTGTGTGTAGAGTTATTGTAATTTCCTAAAAATATACTTTCTGTAGCCGCTCAAGCGATTATCGGCGGAGTTTCTCCTCCAATTTGTGTTATGCGTCTTGATGTTTTGTTTCAACAAATGGAAGGACCTAGAGTTTGTTCCAAACGGCCTGCGAACTGCCGATGCTTGGGGTCTTTATTTTACATCAGAAATATACTCGGTGTGGGGGAGATTCCTTGCCGAGGGGCGACTGCAAATAGAAGAACTTTTTCCCACCTCAATTGGTTGTTGCTCTGGACAGGATTCGAAGGATGGCAGCATGCGCTGCTTATTTGTCAGATAGCGACCGATAACAGACTTAGACCTGTTAATTTTGTGTAAATTAGGCTCGGTTAGGTTACACTGACTGGCTGATGCCCCTTACATAGACCCATTGGTACTTTATAGTGTGGGATGGAGGCCCGCTATACTTTGATCTAAAGTAGCCGTCGTAAATGGCATCGACGTCTTTTTGCGAAATTGAAGAGAGCTTTATCATCCAACTTTGAAGCCTCCGCTAGTACTTAGTTCAGAGCTTCACAATAAGATATCTAAGGTGAGTTCTGGCTAAGGCCGGACAGAATCAGAGAATGTGTTCTAACGTTTAACTTATGCCTTTCACACTGCACTTCCGTTATGTGGCACTGCTATTATCGCCCATTCTGTTCGCATGGTTGGCAATATTTGTGGATTGTGGTTTATTATAAGCCCAAAAACGATACCTACAGTCTTAACGTAAATGAATAAGCAAGAAGTGTGCTCTCACCCGTGATTTTACTGATTTTGCATGTCGCTAATAATGCATTCCATCAGCCTCTGATCTGACATTCTTTCAGAGATTTCATTATATACCGTTTTGAGCGTATTTTCGTATATCTTGTGCTGGTTCACTAGCAAGACGGCTGACACTTTTAGCATTCTCATCGACTATTTCGTTACCTAAAATGCTATTGTGGTCCCCGAAGATTCTAACAGAGACTTCAACTAATGTCATCAACCTCATGGCAGATTTCACCGCAGTGCCCTCCACCACGATGTCGATTGATGACAGGTCAAGAAAGCTTTCAGGTGCCGTGGTTGTAGTGCCTCTTAGTGGTCCTGTTATGCTTTATTGGTAGCGGTCCATCACACCAAAGGGCCGTAGAGCAGTATTGGCTTAAGTATCGCTGTGTAAACCCAATGCATGCGGCCAGGGGATAAACCACAGATATGTTTTTTGCATTAATTGGGAATATGCGCTTTGTTCACCTCGAACATATGTCCTCTCAGAGCTTCAGCATAGAACCGGCATAGAAGTTTCTGGAAGAAATTTGTTAAAAGCTGTTGAGTTCAGAAAATACTAGTTTCGTTGGTGGTCTCAGCTCCCGTTCGTACGATATCACAACTTCTATTGTTGATTCAGCGGCGGTACGTTGACACCGATTGAGAGAGGACCAAACTAACGTAGTCTACGACGTCAAGGCCTTCCAATTGTAGACAGAGGAAACAAACAGCTTCCACGGGCTCAAACCAAAGAGAAAAGTGTGTTTGATGTGTCGTAAAGAGGTCGTTGAATGCTGGTCATAAAATGTTGAGTTGAGTCTCGAGTTCAATAATGATCATAAAAATCTTCCACAGCGTGATTGACATAATAACTTCTGAAGACTTAGCAGGTCAGGGGCTCAAGGTCAGTAAGGGCGAGAGACCACCAAGTCCACTAGGGCCCACATCAGTATGGTCTTTCAACCACGAGAACTAAGTCTTTCTACATGGCCAAGGACTGCATCCCCCGAAAATATTTTCCAAAACCTATTGCAGATGAAGTGCTCTTGTTGTTGTAACTATGAAAATATTCCCCAAAGTACTTTTTGGGGAAGGTTGCGGTAGTGACAGTCCTTGACCAGATAAAAACCCGGGTCGTTCCGGTATAAAGAGCTGACTGTAGCGGGACCTATTGGATTTTAGTTCCTTCTTACGATGGGCATGCCCTAGCGCGAGTAAATTCTTGAATCCATAACCCTAAAATCGTATCAAGCTTTGAACGTTATTGCATTTTAAGATCTTTCCACATTGATTCATTCTCTTGAAGCTAGGTTAGGTTAGGTTAGGTTCGGTTAGGTTGTAGGTGACTAATCCAGTGCTAAGACCTACTCGCTTTTTCTTTGTAACATCACGCTTTCCACTTCCTGAATGGTCGAGTAGTCACTTACTAGTCGACCAAGTGCTTAGTGACAATAATGAGTACCCGAACATAACGTACTTCAATAAGTTGCAAAGAGTTCCTCCATACACCACGATTGCGTGGGTATCCTATTTACCTAGTGCTCGCAAAGCAGACATGAGGACCATCTCTCAGGACGTATGCTCTGCACGGAACTAATCACCTCTTCACATGCCTCCTTAAGCCGACACATCTAACTCCCCTCTTCCTCTGGTCCAATCTCGTCGAAACAGCACGTTTCCTTGACCTCCCATTAGATAACCTCGATGACTTAGATTGATTAAACTTGTCTCTAAGCGGGGCTAGTGAAGCGCTAACACAATAACAACAACGCCATCTACAATATCAGGATGATACTTAATCTAACAAGCTAGCAGTTTTGCAATTACGAGCGACTCCTCGTTGACCAATACCTAAATCAGCCTCGCGCTATACTGCTTTCAGCGCCACCTACAATACAACGTTCCCTGCACAGGACGGCTTGCCGACAGATATTAAACTTAGATATGGATATTTTAGTAGACCAAACTCCCACCTATCCAGACTTGATCTCGACATATCGAACGTATGTTTTGCATGTAATTAGTCCCCATACGACACTACCCACCTTTTTGCCTGACCCCTAAAACCAACTCATCGAACAACTCTTTTCCCTCTTGCTCAGACCCGTCCAAACAGTTCGTTTCCAGGACCTCACGTTATATGACCTGTATGACTCAGAAGGATCTAGTCTGCTGCTAAGCGGGTTTACCGAAACGCTACAACAATATCCTCACGCTGTTAAACAGCAGGTCAGGGATGCTTCAACCAGCTATTGCTATGTATTGCTTTCTTGAATGCTGTCTCTTCTGTTTTAAAAGACTTTACACTGATCGGAAAGCCCTAGCCCAGAGCTGATTGCGAACTACTGAAACTAACTTATCTACAAAATGAGCTTCGAAAGCACTTCGAATTGGCTTTCACGACGAGACGGTTCTGAATACCCGAATCATCTAGATTTAAAGTTTAATACTCATATGACAACCAACTAGGAACACCTGAACTCTAAGTAATTTAAAATATTTTCAGATTTGCCTGCTGGTAATTGCATCATTGGTCAACGGCAGCACCTCGAAGGCTTTGAAAGCAGAGGCCCGAGATGCGAGGTAGATTTGATTTTACTAATAAGATTCGGAATCTTTATTGGAAATGATTTTAAGAATATCAATTTTACTTCTTTTCAGCCAATCTGCAGCGCATTCGCTTATCGGCACCGCCTTTGATTATGATTATTTTGCGCCTGAGGCACGTCGAGCGCCAAGCCGTTATCAAAAATCCAGCCCAATAACAACTGAGAGACCTTTTATACGCTACTGGAATAATTTCGTACGCAATATACGTGTGCCAGTGCCATCCATCACTTGGAATATGACAAATCCGCTGGTGAATCTCTTCAACGCTGGGGTAACGAATGTCATCGACACACCTGTGGGTAATTACAATCGCGGAGGCAGCAAACGTAAGCGCAGCAAGAGCACAAAGTCGAAAAACTCGAAGAAACGCAAGCCCATTCACACAGATTACGACGTAGATGAAGATGAGACTTATCAAGCAGTTTCTTATGGCGGTTATGGTGAGCCTTACGCTGACGATTATGATCCACGCAAGATAATGTATTTCTACGATGCCAGCACCGGGCAATATTATAAAATGCAAACACAATATGTGAACAGTTATGCACTTGCCGAGCAACAGTTGCAACAGCAGCAGCAGCAGCAGCAGAATGATGATGATGACGAAGCAGAGCTACAAGAGGCTGACGAAATAGAAGCGATCGAGGGTCATGTCGCAATGGTAGACGCGCAAATTGAACCGCCAACTGCGGAGAGCGTTAATGAGAGCAATGAAAATGAGAATGAAACTGCGCAGCACGCCGATGAAGAGGAAGAAGCGCTTTCTGACGGCGAAGAAGGCCGGGATTCTGGTGAAGTGGAGATCATACCAGCGGATATGGAGATCTTTGATGACTCAGCGGAAGAGCAAACAACCCACAAGCAGCAATTGGTTGAGCAGACTAAATCAAACAAGTCGAAAAGGGTTAAAATTGTCGAAGAATTGCGCAACTCAATCGGCAGTTATATGCGTGATGATCACTTCAATAGAATGCGTCAGCGTGCGAAGGCAAAACCGATACCACAAACGCTGCGCAGCAGTTTGAAAGCACGACCAAGGAGGAAATTTACCTATTACTTACTACAGCCAGTGTGATGTTGTGAGTAACATAAAGTACGTTAATTAAAAAAATTGTTATACTTATACAATAAATGTAGACATATTATATATAAAACGGCAGTCACTTTACTTAACCTTAATCAACATTAAAACAATTGGCGTAACTAAGAAAATGAAATAGTAAATTTGCTAAAACTGAAATGAATAAAAAAACACTAAACTCAACAGCTAAGGTTTATCTAATGGCAGCTCCACAGAATCCAAATGTTCCACATCATCGAAATAGGGATGAATCATTGCATTTTTGGCAGATATGCGTCCATTTGGATCATAAACTAGCATTTTCTGTGCGGAGTAAGCAAATAAAAGTGAGAATTTAAAGCAATTTTTTTTTCTATGCCATCTCACCATAAAGAGATCATAAGCTTCGTTACTCTCAATAGCTTCAGGTATATTCGTTTTAACCCACACAGGGAAATTAGCTTTGTATTCGGGTAATTGACTGATTCCTGGCCATTTATTTTCATCAGGTGTACCGAGCGTGCGAAATATGCGATATAATTGATCGATTTCACTATCGCCGGGAAAAAGTGCACGTTTCATTATCTAATGGAAACACAAATATTATGCTTAGTTAGCTAGTTTAGTTAGTTAACGCTTATGAACACACCATTTCCGCAAAAATGCAACCTAAACTCCAGATATCCATGCCTGTCGCATAGTATTTCGTACTTAGAAGTATTTCCGGCGCACGATACCATAACGTGACGACCTCATGCGTATAAGCACGCATCGGCACATTGAAGGCGCGTGCCAGACCAAAATCTGCTAACTGAAATTAACAAATATACTAATTTCAAATTTCAGTTAAAAATAATTATTGGCATTGGCTCACCTTAATATTGCCCACACTATCGACCAATAGATTTTGTGGTTTTAGATCTCGATGTAGAATTCGGTTCGTGTGACAGAAACAAAGCGCGTCGAGAAGTTGATGCATGTAGCTCTGAAAATGTTTGAGTAACTCATTATTAATTTTCAATGAGGCTTTTGTTGTTGATGCTCTTAAAAGCTTTCGAAAAAACATCAATAAAAACTCTGCTAAATATTTTACTTCGTACCTTCACCAGTTTTGGCGTAAAAATTTCCTTCTTCTTGTCCATCAATTTCTTCATATCCATATTTAAATACTCAAAAACCATATACAAACTGGAATCTGCTACCACAATATCGAACAGTTGTACAATATTCTTGTGCGTCAAATCCTTAAGCAGTGATATCTCCCGTATGGCCGTTGAGGGGACGCCCTCTGTTTCACTAAATAGTAAATGACAATTAATTTAGTATATTTTCTCAATGTACATATATGAAATAAATATTTATTACACTCATTCTCCATACACCACATTTGCACATTGTTGCGGCATGAAAATAGAAATATACATATGTATACTTTTTTTTTAGTTTAATCAATAAAGTGTAAATAATTAAATTAAATTTTCACATCAACGCTGACACTCCACAACCCGACAAAGCCGAATCATGTGGTGCTACGTGTAGTATTAGATTAAAGCGCAGCATCCACATGATACGGGCCTTGTATGGCTGCCTCATTTACTATTGTGCATATGAACTTGTTTGGCTTCAACATGAAATAAACACACTGTCCTACTTAACTTAGTAAGTAATATGGCTCTTACTTTTTTATCAATACTTTTATGGGCGCTATGGACTTTTGATTGCCCAAGGCAAATGACATTCACCAAGGACAACGCACCTGCTGCCAACATTCACTATTGATGCGTTATGCTTTTGACATGCATGCGTGTGTGTTTGTGTCTTGTCTCTACACCTACGCCAAGGATACAAATCATACGCAATAATAGCGTTGACGGCGCGCTATTTACTCATGCTGCTAAATATAAACAATTGCATGAGCAGTTCAGCTGGTACATAATCAAATGCATTCAAGGAAGTAAAATCAGAGTTATTAGTATAACTGACTCACCTATCTAAACGTATCTTTTTAAGCGCCACATCCTTGCCCGTTTTAGTATCCCTTGCCTTGTAAACGATACCATAAGTACCTTCACCAATTTTAATCATTTTCTTAAAATCACCCACTTCAAGCATCTTGCCGGTCACTTCTAAACTGACACACTAAGTAATAGTAGATGCATTTATTAATTACTTTAAATATTTTAATACAGCTTTCTTGATTATTTTAAAGTAATTTTCGAATTGGAAACAAGCGAATGAGAAATAAACGCAAATAAAAATTTGACAGCGATGAACATGATAAATGAACGCAGCCGCAAAAGCGCGCCTCTTAATGAAAATTAGACGCCAGATGGCGCCATGTGTTCCATCGGCGTTGCGTTTCGTGCTGCCAACGAATGTTTGTATTAATTTTTCATTGCTATGCAAATATGCAATGGTATGAAAATCTGTACAGCTTTCATTTTAAAGAATATTCCCGGATCTAATAAATCTCACCTAATCTTTTGACATTCACAGTTTTTTGGATTCAAAATTTCTGAAATTGTTCTATTAGAAAATTTCTTATTCTAATTATTGATACATAGTTGGCAAGTCTGCAGTGACCATTTGTAATGCAATGTGCTGTCAAACATTCATTTCGGCGGAAGTGAACCGTTTGGTTTGTCATAAAAATTTTCGCTTCGCTATTAAATTGTATGATTATTGTGTTTATTTATTATTATTTGTGTGAATTTTGCTATAGTGAACAATTTCTTAACATAAATATTCCATTTAGCGCATTGGTGCTATTGATTTGTGTTTAATAACTAAAAGAAGGTGCAGTTTGGGAGTGGAAGCGGAAATGGAGACACCAGCGGAAAAGAAACTGCTTTGATTTGATGCCTGTAAAGCAATTATGGGCATGAGTTCTCAAAAATTAGTTCATTTTCGCAAGATTTACTTTTAATTATATATTTCTAAGCTCTTGTTTAATTTTATATATAAATATTTGGTAATTATTATAAAATGAGCTGTGAGAAATGTGTACATTTTCACATTTATATTAATTTCGCATTGAAAAAACTTGTTCGGACTTTTAGTAAAGACAAGAATCACAATGCAAGCACATCGGATTTTGAAGCTTGTTTAGGATTTCCGGTTGCTTTCCAAATATGTATATTCTGTAATGGAAGAAGCTTCCTTCCTAAAACAGATATTTAAAATTCAAACAACTATGAGCTGTTATCAAAAATTTAAAGCATTGCTGAAATGAAAAGGCATTTATGTATTTGTTGATGTCGATAGACGAGCGGGAGTGCACTGCCATGCTTAACGTCGTGGATTCGAAACCTGACCCGTTCAATGTTCAAAGTAATAGAAAATTCAAGTAATTAAAAAATGAAGTTATTTTTCCCCTCCATTAACTGTTCGGAGGCGACTTAGGATATAAAACATTGTACGTTCTCCCACAAATTGGAAGACGAGCTCGGCCGAAAATCGCTTTAGCGGTGATCAACTGGAGCTAATAGCAACTTTATTGTTATTCGAGTGATTATTATTTGGAACCCATTTAAACCTGTCCGACAAATTGTTATTCAAGTTAAAACAGAAACTTTATCATTATTTTACTTGCTCCGCTGATAACTACGAATTAAAAAAATAATAATAATATAATTTTTTTTTGGCTGCGTATGCACGTGAAGAGTCAGTGATGTGAGTTTAGTGTCATTGCTGCGAAAACAAAAATCCCTGCAGTATAACAATAGTCGAAACAATTTTTTTTCTATTGCAAATACTCCAAAAACTTTGGACTTTTCGACATGAACAAGTGGGAAAACTGAATGAAGCGAATCGTTATCAAAGCGTAAGCAGCAGCAACAACAGCCAAATACGCAGCAACAAAATTGCAAGTTAAAGTAGTAGTAGTAGTAGCAGCAGCAGTTTAACTAGCGAAAAGAGCAATCTGACCAAAAGTATCTGTATTCGGCCAAATGTGGCAGATCAAAGTTGCACTCCTCTTATATATACATACATACTACTACTCCTACTTATAGAAAGTGCAAAAGTCACCTCGAACTCGAGCAAAAAAAGGCAACAATTGGCAACATACAAATGTACATAAACATTCAAGTATTATACATGCAAGACTTCACTTGCATAAGCATTTTCATGTGTGTAGACAAAGTCAATGTTGGCTTCCAATGCTTTTCGTAAAAAACATAGAAGAAGAAAAATAAACCCACTTTTATGCAACAAAACACAACAGAGAAGACGTCGAGGTGCAAGATAATACAGAGCACATAAATCTGTGCTGAAAGACAAAAAAATAAACGAAAAAAAAAAAATCAAACAGCCGAAGAAGAAAAGTATTGACAAAGCAAAAAGTGAAATAAATAACTTTTAAAAGGTGCAAAAAAGAGTGCAATAATGTTAGTAGCTGCAAAACAAACACAAGTCAATGTTATCGCCGAAAAACCCGGTTTGTTGCTTTTACTGTTATTGTTGTACTTCCTGCCGCTCAGTACAATCTACTTGTACTAACAACGCATTCAATGACGAATCAAATCCGTCCAACCAATGTTGGCTAACTCAGTGTTAGTGCATTGGCACTCACTTGCCCACTGGAGCCTTGCAATGACCAACATAACGTTTTCCCTTTGGCATATAGTGTGCGTGTGTGTGCAACTTTAAAGCAGCTAAAAAGTGGCAGCCTTTCTTATTCTCGTATGCCCGAGTTTTCTCTTCCACTTGGCCACTGTTGCAAATTGTGATTTGAATGGTCAAAGTAAGTGGCAGAAGTGCTTGTTATATTTATATAGATGTAGATATTTGACTTATAATATACAATTTATGTGTGTAAGGATGGTTACATGCGCATATGTTTGAGCATGAAGCGAAATTTATATCTGGCATATTTGCAGTCGACTTGCATTTATTTGCTTACTTTTTTATTTTACTACTTATTCTTGAGCAGTCATGCGAAGTTGAAGTTGAAGTTTTTTTTAGCTGCCTGCGTAGGGCTATACTCTAAAAATAAGTGGAGTGTGGCGCAAACAAAAAGTGCCAAGAGTTTTACACTACATATTTTCTGGCACTCTAAACTTTAATTTTTTACAAAACTTTTTTAGTTACAATTTTATTAGATGTCGTCTTAGCTCATCTCTTTCATTAAATTTATGGCTCTTAAAGTATCTACACACTCACGGTGTGTCCTAAAATTAACCGAACTTTATATCATACAACATACAGCGCCATCTATTGAAAATTTGCAACATTAAAAAGATACATTCATCTTCTTTCAAATGCACCTAACATCATGTCAGTCGGATGACAGATTTAAAAGTGTCAGCCATTCAAATAAAAACCAAAAGTGTGCTACCGGTTCAAAAATAAAATGGAACGAAGAACAAATATAAAACTTTGTGTCAAACTTGAAAAAAAAATTAATGAAAAAAGTTTATTGTAATGATTGTATGAGTCCTACGCAAGTTTATACGTGGTTTACAAGATTTAAAAATGGTCGTGAGGATTTAAATGACGACCCCCTAGAGCAGGATGTCCAGAAACTAGTAATCCTGCTGAACTGGTGGGAAAAGTCCGAGAAATCATTGGTATCGATGCAAATTTTACTACGAGAATGTTGTCTGAGGAATTGAATACAAGTAAAAAAGAAAGGTCTGTGCGCGATTTGTTCCACATGAATTAAATGACGACCAAAAAATCGCTCGAATTTTTAATGACAAAAAGGGATTTCTCTCATCGACCATCCTCCGTATTCGCCTGATCTATCACCATGTGACTATTTTTATTTCCAAAACTGAAAACCAAGATGAAGGGAGCATTTTATGATGATATCCCAGCCATTCAAACAGCCGTAACCGAGGTACTGAAGAACTTTTCTATAAATGACATAAAAAAATCTATGCATGCGCTGGTTGATTGTTCCAAACGTTGTGTTGAGTCAAATGGAATCTATTTTGAATAAATAATAACTTTCAAAGATAATAATATAAAGTGTATTTTATTTTATATCCAATTTGGGACACACCGTGTCATTAACCGCTTTTGCAACTCTCATAAGTTTTGTTCATATGAGAAATCAGCAGGTTTCAATATTGAAAGATTAACCACAGTTTGCTTGGTGGTGACTCTTGAAGGTAAAAAATACGTTTTAATTTAAATTATTTTACTATTAAATTATTTTAAATTACAGAGCCCGAAAGCACAAATTACCCAAGGTTTGAAGAAATGAAGCTTAGCGCAAACAAATTCAGAAGTGGAATAGACTAAGTTCATGGTAAAATAATTCCCTTTAAATCAGTATTGGTAGGAAATGCAGTCACATATTGCCGATATAAATAAGAGCAGCCGATGGCCTAGTTGCTAGTAATTCATTATTATTTTTTTGTGATTACAATTTATTACTTTTTTAAATTTTTAATAAAAAAAATAAGAGTAGTGTCTACATTTTTACTAGTAGGTAACTCTAACCATCATCATTTTCAGGAAAATCAAAAAAGACCAACGGTTGATAAAGAATACACATTTTGGTACATTTTTAGGTCAACAGTTGATAGAAGGAGGCCTAATTATCATTGAATAGCCAAACTCGCAACTTAAGTAGGGACACAATTGTCCTAATTACTGTCTAGCTATCGACATATGTTATACTGCTGAAAGCGAAAATAAAATTGGGTTCGAATACTTTTCTATGATTGGATATTTTTTTACGGAAGTTTGCCACAATGTAACTTTTTAAGCTGACGACTGCACTAAAATGCCTGAAGAAGATTTTTATTCTGCAAAAATAACCGACTTTCCTTTAAAATTTCTTCTGCAATTCACCACTGGTTTATTGGTTCAGAGTACATGTACCTAAAGATACTCAGAAATAGAAAATTGCATTACCATGCGACTGCTTCTGTCGAGAGAATGTCTCATTATAAAAGCAAAATAAAATAACTCTTGTTCAACAAGACTATTAGTCTTGCTAAATACTTCATATGTACATACTCGTATACACATTCTATGTATGTATGTATGTATGTATGTAAACTCGCATGCATTAAGAAACAGCACTTGGAAAATATGTTAATCCTGAAGCATATGCTAATTAGATTCTTCAACAAGACGAGACACAACACGTGATCACAATTGTTTTGTGATTGAAACCATTTTCATATGGACAAATCCACTGGATTGAATTCTACTACAAACTATGTAACCGACAAATAGCCATAATATTCCATAAGAGCCTACAACACG